AAGAGTTAAGTAAATAAAATACAGAATGGAAAGGGGGAATGTCTATGGAGACAAGTGATTTAAAAATAATTTGTAAATTGATGAACAAGCATCACAGTTCATATGAAACCTATGAGAAAATGGACTGATTTCCATCGAAGATATAAAGTGGGAAACTGGACACAAGAAGAAAGAGGAAATTGAGTAGACTATAAAAATTATCATAGTGATGTGGCAATAAAACTCGTCCTGCGACAAAAGCCTTAGGAAAAGGTCGGAGAACCCAGGAAAGGAATAAACAGGCAACGGATGGGAAGAGACGAGTCACGGAAGAAAATCGGAGTGGCTGTGAAGCGACCGTAGTGGAGAAACACAGCTTCCAACAACAAGATGCCACGTGTCACCTATCAGATTGGCTACAAATGGGAGGCTGGAAAATAGAGTCCAGTGTTCCTAAAACGGACAGTGTCTTTCCTTGTGGACCAGACCCCACTCCTGCTCGCCCGCTCCAGGACACGGCTCGGATCGTCTGCCTTCTCTTTCTCCCTTTTTCACTTTTACCAGCACATAACACAATCAGAAAGTGCACACATCACGCATATACAGCTTGATGAGTTTGTATATAATGAACATGCTCATCGCCACTACCGCTGAAAAATAAAACACAACCGTGCTCACACCTCTCCCTGTCGTGACCCCACTCCTCCCCAAAGTAGCCACCATCCTGGTGTTGAACACAATGAATTAGCTTTGCATATTTTGGAATATAAAATAGATGGAATCATAACGCCTCCTCTTTGTTTCTGTCTAACCTTATGTTTTTAAGAATTCACCCGTATTGTTGCAAATGTACTAATTCACCTTCTTTGCAATGTGACATTCTAACAAAAGAACAGTCCACAGTTTATCCATTCTTCTACTTATGGGCATTTGGTTTCCCTCCTGGGTTTTGGATGTTACAAATGATGTTGTCTGATCACACAGACAGTTGATCTTCATTATTTGTGGACTCTGTATGTGTGAGTTTGTCTACTTACTCAGATTTATTTGTGACCCTAAAATCAATACCTACAGACCTTTCACAGTCATTCATGGATGTGGCCAGAGTGGCTGAAAACTTGGGTCCTCTGATGCACACGATCCCAGGTGAGGTCAAACAAGGCAATGCCCTGCTTTCTTGTTATAGTTCTTATTCTGTAGAAAGTGTCCTTTCTGCTGTCTACTTAATGCCTTTTCTCCCCCACATCTTTGTGCTTTTTCTTGGTGATTTTGCTGTTCAAATGGTGGCCCCAGCATAGCACTGAGGTGCTGTCTGGTGTTGTCAAGTGTGGGAGGGCTGTGATGTGCCTTGTGGAGAAAACACACGTGTTAGGTAAGCTTTGTTCAGAACTGAGTTACGGTGCTCCTGACCGTGAGTCCAGTATTAGTGAATCAACGATTTGTATCAAATAAGGAGTTTTTAAACAGAAATGAACATAAAACAAGGTTATAAATCAATCAGTTGATGATAATTTTCTCACCAGAAGCTCATGGGACTCTAACCCTGCATATCCCCTGGGAGCAATGTTTCAGCATCTGCTAATTCAGTGCTTGCAGTGGTGACGTGACAGAATGAGACTACTGTGAATAATGAGAATGGACCGTGTGTGCATTTCATGAGTGTATACCTAGGCCATCTGCTGCTGGGTCATACGATTGATACTTTCAACATTAGTACATCTGTCAAAGAGATTTCAAAGACACTGCGTTCGTGTACACTCCTATCAGCGGTATAGGAGAGTACAGATAATTCTGCGCCTTTCCTGACACTTGGTATTGTCAGGCTTTTAAATTTTAGCCATTTTGTTGAACGTACAGTACATCGCACTGTAGTTGAATATGCATTTTCCTGATGATAAATGGCGTTGAGTATCTTTTTATAAGTTACTCATTGGCCAATTAGATGCCCTCTTTTGTGAAGTGTCTGTCCAAGTCTTCACCCTTTTAAAAAAGTGAGTTGTCTGTAGGAGTCCTATTTCTATTCTGGAATCAGTCTTTCGTTGGTTGTATGTGTTAACAAATAATTTCTTCCACTCTGTGGCTTACCATTTCATTCTCTCAGTGGTGTTTTGGATGAATACAAGTTCTTAATATTAATAGTCAAGTTTATCATGTGTTTTCTTTATAGTTAGTACTTTTTATATCCTGTTTGAGAGACCTTTGCTTACTGCAAAGTCACAAAGATGTTCTGTACAGGCACACCTCAGAGACACTGCAGGTTCAGCTACAGACCATGACAATAAAGCAAATATCGTGATGAAGTGAGTCACATGAATATTTGGATTTCTCAGTGCATATAAAAGTTATGTTTGCACTCTGTTATAGCCTATTAAGTGCGCAATTGCAGTCTTAAAAAAAACAAGGTACGTATCTTAATTAAAAAAATACTTTGTTGCTAAAAAATGCTAACCATCAGCTGAAACTTCAACGAGTAACACCGTAATCTTTTTGCTGATGGAAGGTTTGAAATATTGTGAGAACTTCCAAAATATGACACAGAGACATGAAGTGAGCAAATGCTGTGAAAATAATGACGCTGATAGACTTGCTGGACACAGGGTTGCCACAAACCTTCAATTTGTAAAAAAAAAAAAAATGCACTACCTGTGCAGTGCAGTAAAATGAAGCACAAACAAGTGAGGTATGCCTGCATTATTTTCTAAAAGTTTTATTCTTTTATCTTTCACATTTTCATCTATAATGCACCTGAAACTGAGGTTTGCAATGATGTGAGCCAATAATCATGATTTGACTTTTTCTCTATAGTGATGATCCAGTTGACATAGTACACGTGTTTAAAGACTGTCATTTTCCCATTATACTTTATCTCTGATACTTTTATGACATATAATTTCCATCTTTGTATCTGCAGCCTGTTCGTGTCTTATATTTAATCTATGTCTTTTATAGACAATATGTAATTAGATTTTGATTTTTTTTATTCTAGTCTAAAATCTTTGTCTTTTAAATACAGTATTTACCTATTTATATTTAATATAATTCCTAATATATTTGGGCATAAATAGTTATATTTTACCATTTTCCTTATCTGTATCATGTTTATTCCTGTCTTTATTGCTTTCATCAAAACAAGACTTCAGTATTTTTTAAATTTAGAAATATTTCTCCCATATTAGCTTGTCAGTTATACATTCTTTTAATCTCAGTTTTATGACTACCATAAGGGTTTCAATATGAATCTGTGGCTTTATTACTTTCCAGACAACACAAGGACTTGAAGCTATTTTAATTCCTTTTGTTCCTTTCTTCTCTTTATGCTGGGTGTTATGTATTTTAATTCTTCATATATGTTAGACTGCAAAATAAATTATTATTGCCTTTTTTTGCATCACTGTTCACTTAGATTTACCCACATGTTTAGTCTTTTTATTGTTTTTCTTTCCTTTATGCATGTCCATGCTTCCAGCTGGGATCATTTCCTTTATCATGGATGTGCTGCCAAGGAATTCTTTCCGCTTTTATTTATCTGAAGATATCTTTCTTTTATTTTTATTTTTGAAGGCTTTTTAAGAATAATTGTGTAATTTATAGATTGTTAGGTTTTTCCCACTATTTTGAAGATGTAGCTTTATTATCTCCTGGCATCCATTTCTCTCACCCATGTTATTGTTGTCTTGAAGTGAATGTCTGTTTTCTCCCCCCCCAGCTGTTTTTTTTTCTGATTTTTTTAATTGTATAGTCAGTTACAATGTGTCAATTTCTGACAGACAGCATAATGTTTCAGTCATACATATACATACATATATTCTTTTTCATTATAGCTTACTACAAGATATTGAATATAGTTCCCTGTGCTGCACGGAAGAAATTTGGTTTTTATCTATTTTATATATAGTTGTTAGTATTTTCCCCTCTAGCTGTTTTTAAGAGCTTTGATCTGTTTCTTTGGTGTTCAGCAGTTTCACTAAGATAAACCTAAGTGTGTTTTATCTTTGATTTCCCCCACTTTGAGATTATAATGCTGCCTGAGTGTGTAGTTTGATGTCCCTTGTCAATTATCTGAAAATGCTGAGCTAATAAGAGCTCTCCTTATATTGTTTCTGCTTCGTTCTTTCTTTTTTCCTTCTGGATTTATCATTTATAGATACAGGCTTTAAAATAATGATACATATGTTCAGGAAGATAGAGGACATGATGGATAATTTCAGCAGAGAACTGAAATATATTCAAGAAATCACACAGAAATTATAGAACTGAAAAATAAACTAACTCAAATTGAAAACACAAGAGATAAGTTGAATAGCAGATTAGACACAGCAGAAGGAAGGGTTATTAAGTGGAAGATAGGTGTATAAGAACATCCAGCTTAAAGCTGAATGGATGGATGATAACTACATATTTTCATTTAAAATTCCCAATTTTTGGCTTTCCAGGAAAAATCAAAATTTTTGTGAACTCTGAATCTATATTCTGCATAGCTTTACTTGGTCTGAGCAGGTGAAGGGCTCAAAAGTTCACTCCTTTCTATTATTTTCTGCCACTGAGGCTGAATATCAGTCGTCACGGTTTATATTGCCCCTGCATTGCTTCACTCATTTACACCACCTGGTGAGTGTGTGTTGGGAGGGGAAATGGTAGGGGAGGGACAATCTAGGCAGTTGAAATCGTACACGAAAAAGTACTTAGCCCCAGGGCAGTTGGGCAGGTCTGGGAACTCAAAGAAAACCAGCACAGCTGGAGCACAGGGGGCGTTGTATTGGGCCACCAAGTCTGGAAAAATCCTTGGCTCTTGGATGTCCTTGCAGACCAAGTAGCTAAGAAGGACAATACTTATTTCCCTGTTACTTGCTGGTGTACAAACTTGGCCCCTCTGAGTCTTCTGGCTGAAGTTGCATCACTGCAAAATGACATTGTTAACTCTAAGATGACTAGCTAACCATTAGCCAGGTAGACAAGCTGTTGAGTTGGTACGATGAAACATCACTGAATTCATTTTTATGTCTTTGTTTCCTCTGTTTTAGCTGCAAGTGTCCGCTGCTTGGAAAAGTGTGGGAAGCTGACTTGGAAGCTTGTCGGTTGCTTATCCAGAGCCTGCAGCTCCAGGAGGCCAGGGGCAGCCTGTCTGCAGACGACGCGAGGCAGATGGATGACTTTGGGGGAGGCACTTGTACAACATCTCTGGCCACCCCCAACAGGGTCCACTCTGAAGATGAGAGGAAGACCCCTTTGCAAGCATGTGAAGAATGGAAGGTGCACCTGACCCCCTCTCCTCACTGTGCTGGCGGTGAACAGAAGGAGGTCTGTCCATCCCCATAGTCTCAGTAGGGGCCTTACTCTGAGGGGTGCTTTGGGAGAGCAGCAAACAGTGGGTAGGCTTCCCAATGAACCACCCAAACTCTTTAAAGTTTTAATAACTCTTGAATATAATTACAGATTTATGTAGAATTTTTGTAGAAATTGTTTAAAACATAGAAGAGCGAAAAGAATAACTTCGGGCATGTGTAGTTTTTTTATTCTAATTTCATGGCTCTAGTTCAAATACAGAGTTTCATGTGTAATTACTATATATATATATGGCCCACATTATATGTCATATACAACATATTGTTATATATACTATATATTATATATGTCATATATAATATTTAATTCTATATTTAGAATCCATCTTACAATATATCATTATTCTTCAGGATCAAATATACATGTATATTCCATTAACTGTTTTTGCCAAAGCAAGAACATAATGAATATTAGAATCTTATCTTTTCATTTAAAAAAAACCCTGATACTTAGCCTGTGATATATGCATTAAAAATTAATGTGCAGATTTATTTAATACTTTACCCCAAGGCTGACCTAGATTAACAAAGAAGAGTTCCCTGCCCCTCCCCTCCCAGGTCTCTCTCTCCGCTCCCCTGCCGCCCCCGGTTCACCTCTCCTCTTTCCCTTCCCCTCTCACACGCTTTTTCCCTCTAACCCTAAGAAGACCCTTTCAATGGAAGGGCTCTAGGAATTTTTTTTCCAATTTTAGTGCCATGATAGGAGGCTTCAGAGCCCTTTTCTGGCCAGCTTCCCAAGTGATCTGAATATTAAAGTAAATAAAATAAATCTTCCTTGGTGAAGCTGGAGGAACGTGTCACTTCACGTTCATATCTCACATCTGATGTTAGCTGTGTCTCCTCGTGGGGCCTTTGCCACGGCTCACGAGGGAAAGCCCCCCTCCCCATCCTGCCCCATTTGGGTGGGCCTCCCTGTCCTGTCTGCTAGACCGTGGTCTTTACAGAGCATACACTCTCTGACACCGTGTGGTGACAGTCCCTGCTTGGAAAATTGATACTTGATCCTGTATTTGGATTGAATGACCTTCTGAGAAAGCAGGCTGTTGTCACTCTCTGGAATCCTGCTGGCCTCACAGCATTAGGCTCTGCGTTGAACGATAGAGGATGATAACATCTTTGTTAGCTGAGGTGCTGCAGGTGGAACCCTCCTCCAACGCCTGGCTGCCAGTACTCTAGGTAGACTGGTTGAAATCTTGCCACCGGTTGCAGTTGGGCAGCTTGAAAGAATATTCTGGTGCAGAGGAATGTGCCGTCAGAAGAAAGGGTTGGGAGCCCTGGGTGAAGGGAACTGCAGGCCCTGGGGCCAGGTCTTTGAAGGCAGATCTGACTCTCCAAAGTGAGCTCCCGGGAGCTCAGGGCCAGGACAGGCAGGACCCAAGCCAGGTCTGTGGTGGGGTCTGCTGGGACAGTGGACACCACTGGAGGTCACACCTGACTCTGCAGATACAACTGTGTGGGAGAAGTCTCCTCCCTCCCTCCCTCCCTTCCTCCATTCTTCCCTTCCTCCCTCCCTCCTCCCTCCTTTCCTCCCTCCTCCTCCCTCCCTCCCTTCCTTCCTCCCTCCCTCCTCCCTCCCTCCTCCCTCCCTCCTCCCTCCCTTCCTCCCTCCCTCCCTTCCTCCCTCCCTCCCTTCCTTCCCTCCTCACGGTGCCCATGTGTCCCTCCAGGCACTGTGGGGGAGGACTTTCCTGAGAACAGAAGTATTATTCTTCCTCCATAAGATTATAAGCATCTACCAATCTGGCTACAGGAAAACAGAGCTTGTTTGCCTAAAAATAGGAAAATCAGAGTCGAGGATGAAAGGAGTAGAGCTTTGTTACAGAGCGGTGCTCGACTGGTGAGGAAGAGGTGCAGGCAGTGACAGAGAGAGCAGAAGAGCCGCAGTGGCCACCTCTCCGAGCTCCAGGACCTCCCACTGAGGCCCCCGGCTCCTCTCCACCAGCCCAAGTGCTGAGGACGTCCTGTAGTTTTTCATGGCTCTCTTGGGAGTAGAGGAGGGCAGAGGGGACTTTAAAGCTTCTGTTAGCTCAGTGCCATCTTCCCATCCTGCGCCCTGCCCTGTCCCATGTGCTGTTCCTGCATTGCTCTTCTGGGTGGATATTCACAGAGGAAGGTGGGCATCTTTTGAACTCACGGGTGGCCAGAGTGTTAAGATGGTAGCTATTTTCTGGGAAGGGCAAAATTATGGAACAGAAAACAGATCGATTGTTACCAGGAATTGGGGTTAGGGGAAGGGGTTGATCACAGAGGGTGACATGAAGGAATTTTGGGGGGGAGTGTGTGATAAAACTGTTGCCAAGTCCAAACTTGTTCTGCTCACTGCATGACAGGCCAGTAAACAGGGAGATGAGATGTTGGGGTAGGAATAACGACTTTATTTGGAAAGCCAGCAGACCCAGAAGATGGGGGACTAATGTCCGCTGGAGAACCATCTTCTCCAAGTCAGAATTCAGGCTCGTTTTATACTAAAAAGGGGAGGGGGTGTGGTTGGTTTTTGCAAACTTCTTGGTGTCGGAATCCTTTGTTCCTACAGCTGTCCGCGTGGGTCAGGTCATGTGTCCCTGTTAACCTCCCACAAGACAAATGTTATTTTCTATGCTGCAACTTGTTATTGTTATATAAATGGGAAAGTGTTACACCCTTAAAGGTCAGAGCCTCGAGAATGGGCTACCCTGTATATTTCATTCTTTTACAAAAGGTGCGGAACCAGCAGGACTCAGCCCAGGAACTAGCACAGGGTTAGAGCCAAAGGAACAGATCTCACATGGAGCTGGATTTCTTCTTCCCTTTTACAGAACTATTCTGCATCTTGGTTGTGGTAGCAGAACTGCAGAACTGTGTGCCTGTGTCTGAATCTATCACTTTACACCCAAATCTTTACTGTATATAACATTACAAACGTGATCACGATTAAAAACATGACACCTACCTGTGAAAAAACGAGGCTGTGGACGAGTTGCATTTGGCTCAGGGCTATCAGAAGGCGGTACAGTAGGGTGAGTGGGGCCCAAGGCTTCTAGGTCATTTACAGGTTGCATTTCCTTATCTGCTAAAAAAAAAAAAAGATGAAGAATGAGGATAACGAAAACTATCTCATGATGCTGTTGTGAAGATTTAAAAAAAAATAAATGCATCTAAAAGTGATATATACATGGTAGAGGCTTAAATAGTCTTTGTGCTGTATGTGTGTGTGTGTGTGTGTGTGTGTGTGTGTCACTCTTTCTGGAAGTCACAAGTCTCGGTAAGACCTTTTTTTAAAAAATAATATAGCTTGCTTCCTTTATCAAGAAGCAGAAGTGAGCGGTGAATAAGTGGAAGCTATCCAAGAAAAGAAAGGCTCAATAAAGGAAAAGTCTTGTTTGTGTTTGGATGGAGGCTCTGAGGCGCAGAGAAACGATAACCCGGGGTCTCATTTGGAAGGTTTCTTTGTCTTCCTGCCTGGGTTTTCTGGGGAGCCACTGAGGTCTGGGTTCTTGTGTGGCTGCAGTCCCTGTTGCTTTGCAGCCCTGCGCTGGCTTGGGTGTGGAACTCCCTGCTGGGTCTGGCCACCCTGCACTTCTCTCTCTTTTGAAGCAGGATGCCCCGAAGGCAGTCAGTTTCTTTTTAACCCAAATCTTCCATGAAAAATCGCTGCCTTCTTACGGTGGTCCACAGGGAGATGGATTTTCAAAGCCTTCCCTGTGCTTATCTGCCCCACGTGGTTATATGTGTTCCGGTTGTACTCTGGTTATAGCAAGTGCTTTGCCATTAATTAAAGCTTTGGCTGTGTTTACGGTCCCACCCGGCTTCTCAGCACCGCTTCCCCCATTTTACAGCCGGGCCCGTTAAGGCAAAGTAATTTGCTGTGGGCTTTGGTACAGAGGAAGCCGGCTGTGGGGCGAAGGGCCAGTTTCAGCATGCGCTTCCTCAAATGGTAGGAGCCCTCTCCTTTCTCGGTTTCATTACAGCCCTCCTGCAGGCTTTTCCTCGGACTCTGGAAACAATCAGCTGCTGCTGGCCCTGCCTTATAGACATTACAGAAATTACACGGGGGCCAGACAGGAGCTGGGGAAATCAGTGCGCCAGCTTCCTCTGCTCTGACGTTGCGCGTTTGTACTCCCTGTTCTGGCCGTCACGCCTGCGTAATTCTTGCTTTCCTGTCTGCAGCCTGTCCTGCAGGGGAGCCTTCTGTTTTCACGACGAAGCAGGCCCCCCTCCCACAGAGTTCCCCTGGACCGCCTCCCTCTCCCCTGACTTCTCACTCCAGCTGCTTCCTTTCCCAGCCGGCAGCTGCCACCAAAGTGGCTCAAAGCGTTACCGAGTCCAAACTCGTTCTGCTCGCTGCACAACTGGCCAATAAATCGGGACATGAGGTTTTGGGGCAAGGAATAATGACTTTATTCAGGAAGCCAGCAGACCTAGAAGATGGGGGACTAATGTCCTGGAGAATCATCTTCCCCAGGTCAGAATTCAGGCTCCTTTTATACTAAAAAGGGAGGTTGTTGCGAACTGTTGGAATCCTTTGTTCTTGTAGCTGTCACGTACATCAGGTCATTGTGTCCCTGTAAACCTCCAACCAGACAAGTGTTATTTTCTATTCTGCAACTTTTTATCATTATATGAATGGGAAAGTATTATAACCTTAAAGGTCAGAGCCTGGAGAACAGGCTACTCTGTATATTTCATTCTTTTACAAAAGGTGTGGAACCAGCACGACTCAGTACTGGCAACAGAGCACAGGGTGAGAGCTAAAGAAACAGATCTAATGTGGAGTCAGATTTGTTCTTCCCTATGGCAAAAGAGGTCCCCAAAAGGCCCAGCAGCTTTGAGCCATCTCACCCAGCAGTATTTGAGTGGCCAGTGTGTTACAATGTCTGCAATGAAAGGAATTGGCAATAAGATACATTGTCACTTTATTTATTAAATCATAGAGGTCTCCAAACAGTATTGTCAGTTTCTCCCACTTCCTTTTTACTC